CAGCAGTATCGTGCACTCACTGTTCCAGAGCTCACACAACAGATGTTCGATGCGAAGAACATGATGTGCGCGGCTGATCCTCGACATGGCCGCTACTTGACAGCAGCTGCTCTCTTCCGCGGCCGCATGTCGACAAAGGAGGTGGACGAGCAGATGCTGAACGTCCAAAACAAGAACTCCTCCTACTTTGTCGAGTGGATCCCAAACAACATCAAGGCATCTGTGTGCGACATTCCACCAAAGGGACTGAAGATGGCCGTGGCATTTGCAGGCAACTCAACTGCCATCCAGGAGATGTTCAAGAGGGTGGCAGAGTACTTCACTGCAATGTTCCGCCGCAAGGCCTTCTTGCACTGGTACACTGGTGAGGGTATGGATGAGATGGAGTTCACTGAGGCTGAGTCGAACATGAACGATTTGGTCTCGGAATACCAGCAGTACCAGGATGCAACTGCTGAAGAGGAGGGTGAATTCGACGAGGAGGAGGGTGAATATGACGGATGACCAAGTGCCTAGTGCATTTGCGACCACAAGGGTCTTCCTTCTCAAGTGTCGACTTGTCTTGCTATCTGTTTCAACGCACTGGGGGAAAAGAATGATCGAAAGACAGCTCGTTGGATCGACAGACTCGTCGACCGACTCGCTCCGAAGAAAGAAGCAAAACACCCAACTGGCCAGCGACTTGCCAACGGTTCAGCTCACCAATGGATTTTTTTTGTTTTTAACTTCTTCAAGGATGGAGACAGCTAGACGATTGGACTGATTTGAAGATGTATCCAGCTATACCTGGTGAGGTTTGTACACCCCACAATTAGACAATTCCTGCCAGATTCTCTTTGGAACCTGCACCTACCACATATATGCTAGCGTTTTTCCACTACCCCAGCAAATGAGCTGTTTTTCTGACAGTGTTCTTTTGGAGCCAACCACGGACCGCCATTCGACGCCGAGATGGTGATGAAGCACGGCCATGTGGATCACGCGCACATGGCCTGCTTCGAGGCGCGGGTCCGTTTGGGTCGGTTGGAGGCTGGAGCAGATCTTCTGTGACCCAACCAGCGAAGAAATGAGGCGGTGCTTCCCCGAACCAGCTTTTGGTGGTGCTTCCCCGAATCCGGAGTCTTTTTCGACGATATAAGTACCTATACGGAGCATATGCAACATTTCTGCCTTTTCATCAATAAAACCCAACCGGGCCAAAGGCAGATATTTTGCATAGTTGGAAGATCTAGGTCCCTAGCAACAACGATATATGACTGCGGAGGTAGAGGCCGTCACAGTCGGCGTCCCTGGATCCCGTCTTTACGGTTAGCGATGCGCTTCTTAGTAGCGAGCGTGAGCTGTCCGTCCTGGCGCTACCTCAAGTCGGGCGCTTTCACCGATAGCGCGACCGCCAAAAAGCTGGGAACCAAGCGCAGACGGCGTCTTTTTGGAACGCCCATCGTTTACTGTTTACCTCGACGCGGACGTGGCCTTTCGCGAGGGTTTGCACCCCTCGAGGTGAAAAACCGAGCTAAAGATGGATATACCTTTTAGCACCTTGCCATCTGTAATTATTTCAGTGGAAGTACTCACCTCAATTCTTTATTTTTTCAAAGAACACATCACACAATTGACGATTGATATTATTTTAGACAGGGATCGGTACAGTAGTGGGGATTGAAGTCGTATTTCCTTGGTTAGAGCCAAAGAGTCAAAAATAATTAGGAAATTATCATTTAGAGTCTCAGATTGAGGAGTGTGCAGCGTGCATTTTCGCTTGTGCCGCACTTGTGCCAGATTTATTGGGTGAACCAAGCAGCCAACCACCTGAGAAACAATATTCAAGCAAAAGTATTGCAAGGGAGGGGAACTCAAATATATGATAATTGTATATGTGTCTATGTCCATTCCCCGGTAAATCTTCGGGACCCACCTCAACTTGCCCTCAATGACTATGACTATGACAGTCCGGACTCTCCGGAGGAATCTGGTGGACGGTACCCACCTCAGGATTAAAGACACATCACACAAGGTAGGTGGTGGACGGTACCCAACGATGGTAAGGTCTTTTTGCGTCGCGACGTCGCTTCGCGACTCGCCCCTGCGCTTCGCGACTCGCCCGGGACGAGTTCCGCAGCCAGGGCCACATCGCCAAGTTCCGCAGCTTCCTGCGCCGGGCGCTGAAAAGGCGGAGCTCGGACTCCGCAGACATCGGTGGCAAAGGGTGGCCGTAGAGGGTGGTTGATGGACATTTGCTTTAAGTTTTTTTCATTTTGCTTTAGGTGTGGAAGATGCTCCTCTCGTAGTGTTCTGCAGAGCTGAAGTGTTCATCGGTTTCCTCCGGCCTCGACGGCGAAAGGCACACCTTGGGCCGTCAGAGCCCCTATGAGGCAGTGCCACAGGACGTGTCGTCGATTGAGGGGTCGGGTCTGTGAGGACGACATAACAGTTGGTTGGGAAACACTCTAACACTTGACATGGGAAAATCCTGCCCTATGCCTTGATGAAATTAATTGGGATGAGTAAGAGAGGAACCACACAATCAAGAAATGATGATATACACTAAATGTTCATTGTGCTTGCCTTGTTTCTCACCAGCTCATCAAAGAACTGACACCTGCGGCGCCTCAGTTTTTCCGGTCTCCCGGGAAATCACAGAGAAACTTCAGTGGCAAACAAACATATATTAATAATTCATATATATATTTATATATATATATATACAATATACAATACCTCATCAAGCACTTTGTGCTGAGACTCGGTAGAGTAGTTGGAGGCCCCTGAATTAATTTGAACCCCCCTACCGACACATTCCTCCTATACTTGCAGAGCTTCGGTTTTTTTCTAAACGCACTCTAGACGTACTACTCTAAGTTAATGTTTTAAACTATTCCAGCCTCTCCTCTCCATTTTGGAGGGGTGCATGGATATTTGATGGTATTTGTGGTGCAAGAGTTCTTTCATCAAGCGTAGGAGCCACCAGATCAGCCGTGAGATCGATTTTCTGTTCGTGCCTTTTTTGGCGACGGCCTGTTTTGGGGGTACAGGGGTATTTCCTGCGAGTGTTGACCTTCGAGCATCGCTCTGGCTTGACCTTGTTCCCGAAAGAGGCTTGCCAACGCAAGAGGCTTCCCACGGACGTTCGGAAAGGCCTGAAGTTTTGTTTCGCCAAGAAAAGGACCGTTCCGTACACCAGGAAAAGCCCTGAAGCATCGAACCGGAAGCTTTCCGGCCAACGTGCTCGAGTCGAGAAGACGTCCAGGATGCGGATTCTGCCGAGCTCAACGTCTATCCCGAGGCCGGCGGCACCCATGCCACGTCCTCCAGAGGGAGACTCCGGTGAAACGATGCATTGCTTCCGCTCGCGCTGTCGCGGTCCAAGGGTCCAGTGGATGCGGCTTGCATTGACGGGCCGGAATGGGTCCGAGGGCGGGAAGAATGCTCAAGCCCATGAGAAGCACAAGGTCACTGTAGGTTTGGCGTGTTTTACTCCGTGATTTGATCATGTTAGAATCATGTTTGATCTCTAATGTGAAGTTTTGGCATGCGAAGCCCAAGACGATGTCATCTATTGGAAGAAGTGTTCACATGCGCGGGTGTGGTTGAAGTGAAGCCTTATCTATGTGAACAATGAACGATAAACACGTCCTGTCTACTGGCATGCACCTGCTTCTCTTCCTTCTGCATATGATCAGGTTCTCGAGCATTTGGCTACGGGACAAATGAATTGTTAAAGGGTTTGCCATGAAGGTACTGCACTGTAAAAGAATCTTATGCTTAGGTTAGTTGGTTAGTTGGTTAGTCGGCGCCCCCTCCGAGTCCCAGAAGAAAACAATTCGAGAGTCGAGTCTCAGCGGACAAAAATCCTCGAGTTCCGAGTCAAAGTCTTTCCGGTGGTGAAATTGGATTGACCACCTCTTGGTGAATCAAATTTGTGGTTTCGAATTGGCCATGTTGTCACATTGTGGTTCACCCTCCGACCTGCCAGTAAACAGACCGACACTAGCTGGTCTTCACGACGACGTGTCCCGTTGCAAGGCAGCGCCGGGATCGACGATGGGCATCATCCAACGCGATACGAATGGCTTTTGGTCGGGGATCCCAAAGGATTCCGCTGATGAAGTGGACCAGTTCGCCCAGCGATTTGCGGACTGCGGAGATCTTTGGAGCCAAAAGTAGAACGACCTAAACAGCATATCGTCCTCTAAAACCCGGAATTTCAGAAGTCATTTTCTAGAAATGCGGAATCAGGCAAAGGCACTGGCGTTCGGACTCAGGCACTACTTGGCATTTCGGCCGGTCGGGCGCCACAGCGGTGCCACAGCGTTTCGATCGCCATTTGAAGAGGTGAGAGGTGAACTAGTCACTGCTGGTCCACTGCTGGTGCTCTATTTCTGCGGCGCAGTGGTGTATGACACTTGGTTATTAGGTCAATACTCATCAAGCTCCTGTCATCAACAATACACCTTTGCCAGAGCTTCCAACTGTTCTTCGGAATTCTATCCCATTCCCAGAGAAAAGGCTGCTTCGTAGGTTGCCTATTGAATTCAACTGCTGTTGGCACCTAAAACCCGCAGTCTGTGCTTCCATTGCCGGTTGTTTGTTTGAACAAAGATCAGCATTTGTATGCATTTGTTGAACAAACATCCGAAACATTTCTTCCCACTGCAAGTAAATGATCCTGTATGTCTATGGTGCATGAATATAGCCATATAGCTTTGATTCACAAATACCGTTGATGAAAGCATGACTGTACCGCCTTACGTGCCTGGTAGTTACCCTCCCAGATATAGATGCGACGACCACACGAATTGTACGTATGCATTCTTCCATCTTAGGGCTCCAACAGAAGGTGCTTGGGCTGGTGGTTGAATTTTGGGCTGGTCTATTTGGGGGTGGGGCGAGTTGGCCGCGAGCCCTTGACTGGGCTCCCCAACCCAAAGTGCCTGCTTGCTGCGCTGCTGCCGTAGCACTCTTTTGCTCTGAAATCAGGTGCTGGCGAGTGGTTCCTCAGAAGCCCTACGGCAGGAGAAGAGGGTACATGAAAGCAGGGTGAAAAGGACAAAAGTGTAAACGTGACTAAGAACTGGAATTGGGTGGGCTATGGAAGTGTTGACCCAGCAACAGCGGTATTTTCTTTTTTGAATGGAGATCGAACACGTTCTTTGAGAGAGGTTGCCAATGGGAGATACTCGAACCATCGTCTCCAATGTGCCAATGTGCCGATCGTTCATGTAGAATGTAGCCATTTTGTGTGTGAGTCAAAGAATAAGGCTCAGGGTTCCACGGGCAGGAGTCATGATTGATTTCCATTGGAGGCAGGAGGCTACAAATTCTTGACCCACTGCCATTTTGAGGCTCCACATCCATACATAGATAGAACAGAACAAGTAAATCATCCCATAAGCCATCTCCATCGACTGGACATGAAGACCTTTCCTACTTGGGGAAGCTTCAAGGAAACGCGCCAAACTGCACGTCTCTGACATCTTCGTCCCAAGCTTCACGATCGCTCGAGGTGCTGGTCGCTTGAGTGAGCTCGATCTCGCGATGGACGGTTTCCGGGTTCACGAGGAGCTGGGCCGGAAGCGTCTGGTCATGCTCTTGGGCGGCGAGCATGCGGCGGCCCCTCGGTTTCAGAACAAAGAAAGGGGTGGAAAGGTCGGGAACTGGGGTGAACTGATTCCTTATGGTCAGGTCTCTTTTTGGAACCCTTGGCGATCTGTTGGAGGTTGGAAATCGCGGTCCTGCAAGCAGGACTTCCAACCTCTAAACACGTGCTATTCCTTGACCCAACAGATTTCAAGGACCAAACCAGCTAGTGGTTTGCTGTAGCGTCCCATGTCGTTTGTGTTTCTTCCCCAAACAATGTGTCCACACTAGGGGTTCTTACGGTAAGGGTTGACGACTGATCGGAGGTGCTCATCGGCGTGTCCGGCTGATTCGCTGCTATTACACTTCTCTTCGAAGTGCATTTTGACTGCACAGGCCCGCAGAATCTTGTGGGCGCGAGCGAGTGCTCTTTGAGACTGCGCTCTTGTTGTGGTGCTGTGAACATTTTTCTTTTAAGCTTGGTGATCACTTTTTGTGACAGGCACAGGGGAAACCTCGTGTTTTGGTGGTCTGAAGTCGACTTTGCGTGACAGGTGCAGGAGATCGGAGTGGCTTTATGTCGATGTACAGAATTCGTGGCAGGCGCAGTACTTTGGACATCTGTTTTCGTGGCAGGTGCAGTGAACCGATGTGAATCTTAATCTGCAGACTTCGTGGCAGGCGCAATACTTTGTGGACCTTGAAGTGCAGACTTCGTGGCAGGTGCAGCAATGTGTGGACCTTGAGGTGCAGATCTACGCCTCGAGGCATCTGCACGTGGACCTTCACCACAGCCATCGCCACCACCACCATCATCACCACCGCCAACATCATCATCTCCACCATCACCAGGATCACCGCCACCATCTTCTCCACCATCATCACCACCATCAGCACCACTGCCACCTTCACCACCTTCGTCACCACCATCAGCACCATCATCACATATCATCCCCACCATTGCCACCACCGTCATCGTTACCACCATCAGCACCAGTAGCACCACTGCCATCACCACCATCGCCACCATCATCACCACCGCCATCACCATCATCACCACCATCATCAGCATCACCACCACCATCATCACCGCCCTCAACATCATCATCATCACCGCCATGAGCATCATTATCACCATCATCATCATCATCATCATCACCATCAACACCACCATCAACACCACCACCACCATCACCATCATCACCACCATCACCACGACCATCTCCACCATCATCTCACCACCATCACTAACACCGCCTTCACCACCACCACCACCACCACCACCACCACGACCATCATCATCATCATCATCATCATCGTCATCACCTCTCTCTGGAACCCAGTGCGTCTAGATCTCTAGACCTTCTGCTTCTGCACCTCTAGAGCTTAGACCTTTAGACGTACTGTTTGGGGTCTCTTGTCGGGATAGTTTGGGGGTGTATTTGTACGATTAATTAAGCAAAACACAGTTCCGGAGCCTCCAGATGCCCATCTACCTGAACATCAACTGCACAACAAAGCCGAACAACTGCCAACACTCAACCCCACCGTGGGAAACCAAACACCGTTGTTGAAGCACCCTTGATGCTACACGTTGAAACACCTTCGACCGCCTGGGCCACACCTTCGACGGGACCGTGCGGGACCATCTGGGACCGGTGAGGCAGATCTCCTGGCCTCCGAGTCCACAGACACCGCGAGGTGGGGTGGAGATGGCCAAAGATGGAAGATGGTGGAGAACGAAAGATGACAAGTCGTTTCATCTTCTCCGTGATTTTATGGATTTTTGTGTTTAGACATGTAGGTTTGAAGCGACCAGTTCTCAAAAAGTGCATTTGTTATGATGCTGAAGTGGACATTCATCCTCCTTGGTGATGATTAGGCCTCAAAAGTTTTTGTCATGTTGTTTTGGTTTCAGGCCAATCTATCAAAAACAACATCCGCATGAAGGACAAACGATGAGTTATATAACCTTCCTAACGGACAGTCTGTTCATTGTTGCCCCAATTTTTCTGCGCTGGGCACGCCTTTTGTGCACAACACGTCAGGTCAGTGCTGTTGCGGCCCTTGGTGCCACCAAGGCCTAGGAAGTATTTGTTGCCGGAGGTGCCCTGCTGGGTTGGCAGTTTTGCTTATTTTTTTGTATTTCTGGAGTCAGAATCATAACAGTTGGTTGACTTGAGATGTTATGGTTGTTCGCTTTGCTTTCTTCTTCCCTATGAGAAATTCTCGAGACTCTTCACTTCACAGACAATTTGCGGTTTCGTTTTCATCCGATCTTCGGATCGGTCTTCCTCGGTGTCCATTCCCAAGGCGCTCCTGAAAGCAACTCCAAAGTCGGAGGGGCAGGACGTGATCTTGACGGGCACTGTGCGAATGCGGGTTAGTTGACGGGGGGCAAAGGAAAGGCGCCGAATCCGATGCCGCGTCGTTTGTGGATCGTGTCAGCGTTTATATTTGGGTAGAAAGAGCAAACATGAACCACCCGAACGCAACAGGGACCCAACACGGACCCAACAGGGATGAACCTGGTGTCCATGGTTCAGCTCGTGCGAAAGTCAGACCGACGCTCCGAACCCACGGCGGTTCCGAGCCCTGGCAAACCGAGCCCCGTTCTTCGTTTGCATCGGAGAATCCCCAAAATGGGTTCTAGAATGCCGCATTCCATCTTCGGGACTGCTTGTGTGTTCTAATCCCCGGCCAGATTTCTCAAAAGCGTTCCGTGACCAAATTCTGGGTTGTTCCTGCCAGATCCTGGTCGATCCTTGTCCTAACCGAAAAGGGTTTCAGCATGTTTTCACCATGTTTCATCGAGATTTGAAGTGCTTTTTGAACACTTTCCAGGTCCAGTTCTGGCGTTGGTTCCGATGCTCCGCACCCGAGCGCCGCCACCGGGGGATTCGCGCCAGGAGAGGAGTCCGCAGAGTGCCAGTCGGAAAGCCCAGATCGCGCCGTAAGAGGACCCGAACGGGGGCAGCCCGTGGGGCTCTGAACGGGGCCCAGCCCGATCCTGAAACGGGGGACCATCAATTGACGGTCGTGTGAAAACGACGTTTTTGATACACCAGGCAGGTTTGGGGCCACATATGTTAGAGTCAAAGCCAAGATAGAGGGGAGGGCTGCAGTGGCTGCAGGTGCAGACTGTCGCAACACAAGTTGCCAATCCAGCCAAGGAAGCCGATCGCTGCTTGCTTCTGACGTGATGCACATCAATTTTTTTGTAAGAAAGGCAGTAGTTCGACAGAAAGATGACCATTGCCCAGCCCCCTGCGTCTTGCACCACGTGACACAAAGCAAGTGCGAACCTCTCTTGCACACCTGCAATTGTGGTGAGGAACAGGTTCAAGAGTAAAGCATAGCACATCGACATGTCAACCTGTTCCACCTGCTATTCAACCGGGGGCATGAGGACCGGCCACCGTGTGGGGTCCGTCCTCGCTGCACACAGCCCAAGGTCGAGGACGGAACATGAAAGAGCTGCCGTATGCGCTGGGAGGAAGCTACCAAGGCCCCCCTCTCTCTCTCTCTCTTTTTTGTGGTCGTCAAGTGGGGATGGGCGATGTGATGATTTCTTTTGGTCACCATCTGGTGTTGTCCAGAGGAAAGAAGGATAAACAAATAAGCAGGTTGGAACAAGAGTAGACTTCCCAGTAGTTTGGTGTGGTTATTGTGTCAGCATCAATATCATAGCATATCGTAGAACAGCAACAAATATCAAGAACAGCAACAAATATCAAGAACAGCAACAATTATCAAGAACAGAATATGATCCATATATACATATATATATAATATATATATATATACCTGACTCTTCTGCACGAGTGCCTTTTCAGGAGAGCGTACCGCGGGTCCCAAAAAAGGGAACGCTGGCCTACCAATCGGTCCCAATCGGTCCTTCGGTCCATCAATCGCCCCATGAATCCTGTGGCGCAAAACCATCCTGGGATGTGGATGTCGACTAGCGTCCTTGCTCCTAGTAGCGATGCCAGGAGCCCCTAGTAGCGTCCTTGCTCCGTAAGGCCAGGAGCCCC